ACTTGGTTTGAAAACTGTAAATAGACTTTGTCAATGATATGTAAATGTATCCTTATGGCAAATAAAGATTGATTGATTGATTGATTGATTGATTGTTTGTGATTAGATCGTTTTATTTAGGATAAAATGGGTTTAATAACAATAAATGTTTTAAGCTAAGAATGATGACCAGTCTACTAAAGGAGTATGTTTAATCTATGGTAAACGTAGTGTATGGAGTTCATGTTATTGGGCCTGAAATTGGAATCAATGGCCATGTTTTTTTGCAGGAATGCTCGGAGGGTGGAGTTGTTTTGTTTCAGTCCCACAAACGTGAACATTTACTAAAAGCATAAAATTGCTAAACGTGTTTAAGACGGCATATTGTTGCTAAACAAGTCAAATCTTAAAATAACTTGCAATGATAAAATTCCGACGTGGAGTGGTATTCAAGCAATTAACTTAGGCCTAGGGGCACGATATAGTTTTAAATACAGGCTTAAAGGAATGTAACTGTGACCAGACTATAGGGGGCGGAAAATTATTTGGGCCTAGGGGCGCCAAAATGTTAAATCCGGCCCTGACCGGTACCAACATTTTCTTGGATCCGCCCATCACTACGGCAAACTAAATGAATTTCCTAGTTAGATTTTCAATATATTTCTTATTTAGGACTAAACAATGTTAATTTTAATGAGTACTTAGGTTTGGGCCTTTTTGTCTTCTTTTGGTCTTTTTTCTGGGGATGGTGTGAGTCATCAGAATCTTCCTTTGAGGATTCTTCGATTGTAACAGGAAACTGCCCTGCAATACAGATTTATCAAACCTTAAAAACAAAAACAGACAATATGTTCTAAGTGAACTATAAGGTTAGTTGATCAAATTGTTTACTAACATTTCAATTCAAATATACTAGGCATGGGCGGTAGTTAGCTAACACATATCTGAAGCGGATTGCACGGACCTTTCGTGTTAAATTAAATGAAAGTTTGACCTTTTTTTATCTTTTAATTAGTCATAGTCAAGAATTTATTCATAGGTAAAGTAACATACTTAGCCTACATGAATACAATTTTTAATTCATCTAAGTATAAGGACAGGTCCATTAAATATACCTTGAGACTCCTTTTGGAAATATTGGGTTTTAGTTCCATTTAATTTTTTAGAGGAGGAAAAATTCATGTTCTGCATTGACAGTCTTTTTTAAGAGCCCTAATTTATGATTTACAACGAGAAAGTTATTTTTGTTCAGTGTATTGTGAAGCGGTCCTGCCAACATTCATCGTCAGATGACTGAAGTCATGAAGCAGTGAGATGGCTGATGTCATTTGCAGGCCCTAATGCAATTTGTGAGGGTTAAGTGTTAAAATGGGCACTTTATGGGTTTTTTATGAGTTAAAAAAACATAACCTGCAATAGTGAAAACTGAAAACCTTATGTACCAGCTACAGTGCAACCTCTGTAAAGCCCAATAATAGGCCTAACCACCCAAACGATAAATAAATATAAAATCTTAACCCCTTTATAATTTGACCTGTAATAGGAGGGTCAAATATTGTAAAGAGGAAGTGTTTGGCAATGTTGTGTGAGTAGGCTGGTAGTGTTGTTAAACAATAACTTGTTGTGCTGACCTACTGAAGGCTGTTGCTTTAAGTAGGCCAGGGCACTTGATCAAGGGGTCAGTTTTTGTGTGGAGTGGTTTGTGTGGTGCACCGGAGGACAGGGTCCTGCTGGGGGAGCTGGAGCCCAAGGCCCTTGGCCTTGGGTCCAGGTAAGACAATGTAAAGGGTTTTCAAAATAGGGGTTTAGAGTCTTTTCCAAATTGGGGTTTCAGTTTCTAACTAAATGATTTATACAGTTCCAGTCTACTCTACCTTTTATGATTGTGAGTTTATCTTTGTGTTGTTTTTGAGTATTTAATAAAGTTGGGTTTTGTAAGCGAGTGCTGAGTTTCATTCCTGAGCTACGTCACCCAAAGTAGCGGTAGGTATTCCAAGAGGAATTCAACCGTTACAAGGTGATGGAAGCGCCGGGAGTTTTGTAATTTTTTACAAAACTTCGATCTTGGTACCTCTTAGAAAAATAATTGGCTTTAATTTTTGGGGTTCTAGTAATGTGAAGTTTGGTTTTTTTTAAATATATTTTTTTTGGTTATTTGTAATCACCACTTTGGTGCAGTTTTTAATCAGTTCTATTTGGGGGTTCAGTGTTTTTTGGGACAGCAGTGAAGGGCTGGAATGCCGTAAATGTGAAGTTTTTCAGTGTTATTTTGTGTGAGTCTATGTGTCATGTGTGGGTTGCACGTGAGTTCGATGTTCGATATGTGTTCGTGTTGGGTTACACGAGTGTTCTATGCGTCATGTGCGGGTTGCATGTGAGTTCGATATGTGTTCGTGTTGGGTTACACGAGTGTTCTATGCGTCATGTGCGGGTTGCACGTGAGTTCGATGTTCGATATGTGTTCGTGTTGGGTTACACGAGTGTTCTATGCGTCATGTGCGGGTTGCACGTGAGTTCGATACGTGTTCGTTGAGTTTATTGTGTATCGTGTTTGGAAGCACGAGAGTTTTTGCGTTATGTGCTGAGTGCACATGGTTGTTAAGCATTGCGTGCTGGATGCACGAGGTATGTGTTGTGCTGAATGCACAGGGTTTTCATTTGTTATGTGCTGGGAGCACAAGGTGAATTTGTGTTACGTGCTGAGTGCACGAGGTACTTTTTTACTTTATGCTAAGTGCTAGCTGCACAAGGTTTTTATTTGTTCTGTGCTGGATGCACATGTGTAATGTGTGTTTCAGATGTTGTTTGCTGTGCACAAGTGTGTGTATTTGCCTGGTTAAATTTGTGTTGAATCTGGGATCTTGTAGTTCCCAGGTTTCTCGAAGATGTGATTCTGTGGTTGCAGACCTGCTATTTCTACACTCTAAAGTGTATATTGTGCGAATAATGTGGCAGACACATGTTGTCAAACTAGTCTGTTTCAGCTCTTTATGCGCGGTAGATGCAGTGAATAATGGATCAATATATTATATTTTGTAGAAGTAGTTTGAGGGATAGTTAATTATTTATAGTGTATTATGGTGTACTGTTTTAGAAATATATTTGAGCTTAAACTTTAATTTGATAGTAATATATTTTTTTCAGATGGGGATTTTTACAAATGGTTAATACTGTTAATGATTAGAGTAGGTATTCATGTTGATATTTCAGAGTATAGCACGAGCAAAGTTGCGGTGAGAGAAGTCAGCATGTTTGTAGGCTGAGGAATGCTGAGCGTGGTGTAAATGGCCTCTCTGTGACCTGACCTTGCTGAGTGCTGACCGTGTTTTGTTACACTGTTTACCTTTTAATACTGATGCTCTAGAGTTTGCTTTGGGAAATCAGCAATGCATGAATGTTTTATTTTGGGAACAAATTTTTGTTTTTACAGGTGATAGATTGTTGGAGAAATTTTAAAAGGGAAATTGGTTTTGCTTACGGGTTAGTTTGTAACGTTTTGGGCCCAAATCATTTTTTTTTTTCAGCAATCATGTTTTTGAATTTTTATCAGAGAATTACACATGCAATTTTTCAAGTTCATTTTCTGAATTTATGTATTGCTTCTTAAGTTTTTGAAGTATGTGATTTAAAAATGTAGCCTACTGAAGTAAAATGTTTCACTTGTTTTAACACCAAAGCAAAGTAGGGACTAGGGAGTGATTTGAAATGTTTGTTTAACTATTATTTTTTATAGTAATAAATTTTAGTTGTGTTTTTAAAGATACTAAGGGAAATTGAATTTGATTCGGGAGATGATTTTGTTTTGTTAGGTAAGAGATAAATCGCATGACTCCCCGAAAATAACTGTATTGGGAAATAATGTTTTAAATGTTGCAATAGTGTCCTTTAGTGAATTTAATAGTCTCACAAAATTTAAAGACAAAGACGGATTATGTATTAAAAGAATATTTTATTGAGATATATTTTGTTGTTTAGATTTTTAATTATCAGGGACTTAAATGGGAGACAAATTGAATATTTTTGTTTATTCAGAATTAAATTAAATTATACTAGAAATGAAAGACTGTTCCATCATTTATTGTTTTAAATACTTTGAAAAAGGTTATATTTGAAGAATTTGAAGTAAATCAATCTGAAATTATTTATAATGTTTTGTTATTTCATCGTATAGGCCTATGATTTGTTAAGGTAACACATTCCAAACACTTCTCTTAGTTTCAATAATTTTTGTTTTAATGTTGGTTGTGTTGTTTTGTTCTTAATGTGAGTTTGAGAATTTCTTTAAAAGTCTAGGGTTTTTTTATAAATTATATGTTGTATTTGTGAGTTATATGTTTGTGTAGGCTTCCTATTTACCCATCCCCACTGACCAACTGTAGACAAGGCTACAAGAACTTCATGATTTGCCGTGCTATCTTCAACATTAGGATCGGAGGAAGAGACTTTGTCAAACTCAATGAAAACTGGGGAAAAACAGCTGGCATGGGCTTTTAAGAAGAGGAGAACTTCAGGCTGCAGTACACTCTATCAATGGCAAAAGCAGTCCAACATCATCGTCAACCAAAGTCGATTCATCATCAATGCTGTCAAGGAACGCTGGATGGACTACAGACTATAGACACCGAAGTGGGAGACATCGCAGAAGACATGGCTGTGGTCAAACATCTGAAGACCAACGACTGTTCGAGGAGGCTTTATCGACGCAACTGCTGAGGAAGTCAGAAACAGTTGGTCAGTTCTTCCCATCCTAAACCTTATTTTAATTTTGTTTAGGTACAATTTTAAAAGTTTTAAATCAGTTTTTGTTATTAATTTTTTTTCTCTCTGAGTGGATGTATCTATGTAGTTGAGACGCTGGGGACATCGTCTGGAGGAAATGGGGGGATGTAATAGGAGGGTCAAATATTGTAAAGAGGAAGTGTTTGGCAATGTTGTGTGAGTAGGCTGGTAGTGTTGTTAAACAATAACTTGTTGTGCTGACCTACTGAAGGCTGTTGCTTTAAGTAGGCCAGGGCACTTGATCAAGGGGTCAGTTTTTGTGTGGAGTGGTTTGTGTGGTGCACCGGAGGACAGGGTCCTGCTGGGGGAGCTGGAGCCCAAGGCCCTTGGCCTTGGGTCCAGGTAAGACAATGTAAAGGGTTTTCAAAATAGGGGTTTAGAGTCTTTTCCAAATTGGGGTTTCAGTTTCTAACTAAATGATTTATACAGTTCCAGTCTACTCTACCTTTTATGATTGTGAGTTTATCTTTGTGTTGTTTTTGAGTACTTAATAAAGTTGGGTTTTGTAAGCGAGTGCTGAGTTTCATTCCTGAGCTACGTCACCCAAAGTAACAGTACGTATTCCAAGGGAAACGACCGTTACAGACCCATTACATCCTTACTTTCTAACCTGGCTAGGATTATGATCCCTTTTCAGAATAAGTGTGTAATTTGAAAGACAGACATCAACAAATTACTTACTTTTTAAAGACCTTTTCTTTTTATTGTTGCTGCATGACAAATAAGTAGTAATTTTCTTGTAGTAATTGTGGATGTAGTACTTAATGTCGCGCCAAGAGCGACGATCCAAAGCCGAGTTCTGCCTGATGCACTGTTCGCACTCTTTTTTTCCTGGAACCACACGTTTTTGGATCGCCAAATGGAAGAAAGTCATCACTGCATCCTTTTCTTCAGTGGTCCATGATCGCTTAGGTATTGGTTCTGAAATTAAATTTTTATCGTGTTAAGAAATTTAATGGTAGGAATAAAAAATTGGTTTACCAGTGAAGCCTTATACTCAGTTTTATAAGTATCCCACAAGCTTTTAAAATATTTAAATATTTGACTAAAAAATATAAATCTGTCTTTCAGAAAAATTAGTTTTTTTTTTAGCATAAATTAGGCTTTGTTTATAGCAGATACAAAATTTTTAAAAAACTGTGGAATAAGGTAAGAATAGGGTGAGCAGTGATGGAGTGTGATGATATAGCTGCAAATTATGTCTTGTGAAGTTCACTCCTCAAGTCTGCACTGCGAGTAGTGTTGAATTTAAAACTATTCTTTACAACAAAATCAAACATATTTGCAAATAGACAATGAAGATACGCTCGATGTTGAGCCAAATATATGTCTATTCTTGCTATCATTTAAAATTTAAACTTAAACAAAAATTAAGAAAACAAATTTTTTTTCTTTTTTTAAATTTACTATTCTTTTAGTGAACTTGAATGCCGGCTATTTGAATTAAAATCAGAACTCAATGATACTCTGCCGGATTATTAAAAATACCAGATTACTCTACAATTATTGCGAGACTAGATAAAATATCAATAATTATAGAGCATCAAACTAAATCGTTGGCTGGCAGGCTATCATTACATGTTTTACTGTGCTTTCCCATATTTTATTTTAGTAGTGATGAAAAATGCTAAAAATAAAAATGTAACAAATATTATGTAAATAATAAAATGTATAATAAAATGTAATAAATTAAATAGAAGTCGCTCTCCACGTAGGAGGGTTGCTTCTGGTGTATGACGATCGCTTGCAACAAATATTTCCTGCACTGGGAAAAATATTACAAGTGAAATCGCAAACGTTTTCCGAGGATAGCTCAGCCAACAATGGCTGGGTAAAGTTCCAGGGTCTGCGATAGGGGATGCTCCTGACTTAGGACAATTTCTCCCGAGATATAACGTAACGAGATGCTACCCTTCTGAGGTAGGATGATTGTTCCCAAACTAAAACGGTTGCTCCCCATGTAGGAGGATTGTTCTGAGGTAGGCTGATCGCTCCTGACAAAGGACGATCGAGCAGGCTCTGTTGAGAGCTCTCATTGGGCTTAAAACCGCACTCAACAAAATTTATTTGACTATTTTACACCAGTATTGAAAGTGCAGAACATTAGATGACAGAAGACCACCGGTATAGTAGGTACTGTGCAATTTGTAAAAATCCTCATCAAAATTAAATTCAAGACTTACTCCTTAAGGGCCTTTTTGTATTCTGGTTTTCTTTTTTCTGAACATGGTCTGGGCCATCATCCTTTGACAATTCTTTCATTGTTACATCAAACTTCCCTGAAATCATAAAAATCCATTAGATATTTGTCAGTTTATAAAAAGCAAAAAAGCTAATTTACAACAATTTTAATTTAAATGTACTAGGCATATAGCAATGAGCTAACAAAAATATTAAGTGAATTGGAAAAGGTAATTGGTAAATTATTGGGAAATTTTACCTTTTTATCTTTAAATTAAATTTTTTTCAACTAAATCTTTTTCAATCAACGTAGTTGATTGAATTGAAACCCATATGTTGGGGGATTGGGATAAAACTTTGTAGTCTGGTTTAGACCCAGCGACTGCTGCAATTTTTTGATTTATTTAGCTGTCAAGGTAAATAAATGCAGAAACTAACAGTTAGAGGGATTGGAAAGGTTGTAGCTTTGGTAGGCATCAAATCATTTGCCTCAGAGCAAATCTATATCTGTGAATTGTAATTGCTCGAGGCGCTATCGTCAACCCATTCTCAGGTTACAGCGCCAGTGAAAAGATCTCCCGCAATCACGGCTCCATTGTCAACATGTATTACGCTCGCAGCGCAATCACCAACATATTCCGCCGTCACAGCCCTATATTCAAAATGTCTTGTGGTCACAGTGCTATATTCAACATGTCTTGTGGTCACAGCGCCATCTAGAACATATCCCGAAACGATGACACGATTGTCAACATGTTCAATCCTTGCGACACAATCGTCAACAACCGACCCCCCTATAAGCGCTATCGTGAACCTTGTTTTTTATAATCATTTTCTGTGTTATACGACATTATTGCTTAGGTCTGATAGTTGAGACTCTACTGAATATATAGAACAGATTAGCCTGTATTTCTAAGCTCAATAAACTTTGAAGTCCACAATTCAAAATAAACCAGAGTTAAAGTTTCAATTACATTAAGAAATTTTTAATGTCAGTTTAAATTACATTATTACACCATTTTAGGTTATATATAGTACTGTAATTTGTGTGTAATTTGTAGTAATTTGTGGCATTGCCTGACCATAGAGGTTATTGACGTTGTAATATACAGTACTGTGACAAAGACTAACCATAGAGATTATTGACAACGTAATATACGGTAGGCCTACTGTAACATTGCCTAACCATAGAGGTTATTGACGTCGTAATATACAGTACTATGACATTGACTAACCGTAGAGGTTATTGACGTCAGCAATATACAGTACTGTAACATTGCCTAACCATAGAGATTATTGACAACGTAATATACGGTAGGCCTACTGTAACATTGCCTAACCATAGAGGTTATTGACGTCGTAATATACAGTACTATGACATTGACTAACCATAGAGGTTATTGACGTCAGCAATATACAGTACTGTAACATTGCCTAACCATAGAGATTATTGACATCGTAATATACAGTACTGTGACATTGGCTAACCATAGAGATTATTGACGTCAGCAATATACAGTACTGTAACATTGCCTAACCATAGAGATTATTGACGTCGTAATATACAGTACTGTGACATTGACTAACCATAGATTATTGACAACATAATATACGGTAGGCCTACTGTAACATTGCCTAACCATAGAGGTTATTGACTTCGTAATATACAGTACTATGACATTGACTAACCGTAGAGGTTATTGACGTCAGCAATATACAGTACTGTAACTAGGGGTGTGCGAATACCACTTTTTCTTTTCGAATCGAATACGAATCGAATAGAGAGAATTTCAAATTGAATTCAAAATCGAATACTTTCCCTCGAATAGTATTCGAATAGTGAACATTTTTTAACCGAATACTAACCCTCAAATAATGAAAACTTGAAATCAATGTCAAGTCAACTCTCAATAACTTAATTAGCCTACAGTACTAAAACTGTTGGTATGTTTTTCAGAATAAGTGTGGATTGTAAATGTATCTTTCGCTTATTTAATTTAGGCCTAGTTTAATTCAATAGGTAACTGAACTTAGATAATAAGTAAAGGTACAAACCTGAACCAAGTTTTATTAGTCAAAATTATAAAGCACTACCAATAAAAAATTTTGTAAAACACATTCAACCAATTGGGTAGTGATAATCATTATAACCACATAAAAACGCACATTGTTTTCTTTGACTAAGTAGGAATTTAGGCCTACAACTTACTGTCAGCCCTAAGTTTATGTTTTAGAACATAATCTTTTAAAAGGTATGCCTAAAATAAAACCCACAGCCTAACCTCATGACTTGGGCTTAGGCTACTGGACAACTAGGTTTGAATGTACAAGAACCTAGGCCCTATTTTTAACCATTTACAATACCTAGTTTCAATCTTCAATTGAAATAATAAAGCCCCTTTTAGCCTAAATGTAGGCTAACTTAAACTTAGGCATTTTTAGAATGAGTTTATTACGTTACATAGGAAATGTATAATTATTAACTTTTAACCTACTTTTAAGGACCTTTTACACGTGTTGCATTCTGCAACAGAGTCCTTTTTGACAAAAAAATCCCAAATTAAACTCCTTTACTTATTTTTTAATTCTTGTGATGATGTTGAAGGCACATTTAGGCCTAAATCGGCTTCTTCGTCTGAATCCATTTTGTGTCATTCAACCAAACTTTAATGAAGCCTAGGCCTAAAACTTTTAGGCAATATCCAACTGTATAAAAGCAACTGTTGTCAAAATATACAAAAAATTTTATTAAGTTTAGCTGAAATACTTAGCGCAGACGTGCTAAACAAACTGTCTCTAAACTGCAACCTCAAAACTTCTTGTCTTGTAACACCGCTTGCGCTAATGCAAATGCAATAGAAAAAAGAAAGAACAGAAATTGTTGTCTGCTAGAGAAGCAGAAGAATAGAAGCAGACTTCCATAGCAAGTGCGAATTACGTTTTACTCTGGGATCACGGCATCTAGCAGACAACATTTGTATATATCATATTTCAAGTTTATAAAGGTGACAGTGCGCGTTTTGGTACCATGTATAAGAGAACTCAGTATAATTTGTTCCAGTATCTTATTCGCCATCACTTTTACTTTCTCCCCCTATACCATAGTATATGGAGAAAGTACCGTATTGTTTTCGTCAAAATTTTCGAGTTTGAGTTTTGAGTGGATATATTCGTTTTGGGTCCCCCTGGACCCAAAAAAGTGGTTTTCGAAGTGATGTCTGTGTGTGTGTGTGTGTGTGTGTGTCTGTGTGTCTGGATGTGTACAGAGCTAGAGACTACACCTGTGTTCGATTTCGATGAAATTTGGTATGTAGGTTCTAATCCATGGTATCTCCAGGCGTTTTTTTCATTTTTTTGAAATTTTGATTTTTAATGGGATTTTCCCATAAAAACCCATAAAAAGCCGGAAAAATCGAATTTTTTCAAAAATGGCCCGAACAATTTTGATAAAAATTTAGTATGTTGTAGCCCTTTAAACTCTGAACAAAATGGTACAAATCCCATTTCTCTTATTTAAGACCGGAACTATTTTACCGACCTTGTTTATTTGGCTAATGGCGGAGGACATTATTTAATCGGAAACTCACGACCACGACACGATTACACAATAGTTGAAAATGAAACGTTGTCACTCGATAGTCGATAGAAACTGATTACTATTCGTATTTTTGCCCGATGGTAATTTTTTATTAATTACTTGAAACACTATTTTGGCCAACTTGATTTTGTTTTATGTTTTCCAAAGCTCCAACTAATTATGTGACCAGATGGGAAGTATTCGAAAAGGTCCGAACTATTCGACCACCGTCGAACTATTAAAAAAATCGAATACTCGCAGATAGAACGAATCAATTCGAATAGTAGTTTTACTATTCGATTCGATTCGAAATTTCAAATATTCGCACACCCCTAACTGTAACATTGCCTAACCATAGAGATTATTGACGTCGTAACATTGCCTAACCATAGAGATTATCGACGTCATAATATACGGTACAGTAACATTGCCTAACCAAAGAGATTATTGACGTCGTAATATACAGTACTGTGACATTGACTAACCATAGAGATTATTGACGTCATAATATACGGTACAGTACTGTAACATTGCCTAACCATAGAGATTATCGACGTCGTAATATACAGTACTGTGACATTGACTAGCCATAGAGATTGTTGACGTCGGCAATATACAGTACTGTGACATTGCCTAACCATAGAGGTTATTGACGTCGTAATATAAAATACAGTAGAACCTCTTTAATCCGAACTCCCGTGATCCGAACGTCCACTAATCCGAACACCTCATTGCTGTACTTTATACACAGTACAGTAGTTCTATAGGTCTCGCCACCCTAAGTTGAGGCAGCCCAAACTGACCGGGAGGGTCATTACCATCTGGTCCCGCACGACCCTTTATAATCCGATTAGCGACACTTCCGTGAACGCTCTAGTTCAATAATTATCATTAACAAATTTTAAATCGGCTGTATAAATTTAGTCATTTACATTAATGACTTTGATTTAATACACATTTCCGTTTTCGTCCCATCAAAAACGGACAATGTTTACGGTTTGTGAGCTATAAACAATAAACCAAGTAGTGTTTTTGTTTATAGCTCACAAACCGTAAACATTGTCCGTTTTTGATGGGACGAAAACGGAAATTTGTATTAAATCAAAGTCATTAATGTAAATGACTAAATTTATACAGCCGATTTAAAATTTGTTAATGATAATTATTGAACTAGAGCGTTCACGGAAGTGTCGCTAATCGGATTATAAAGGGTCGTGCGGGAACAGCCGGTAACGACCCTCCCGGTCAGTTTGGGCTGCCTCAACTTAGGGTGGCGAGACCTATATATTGTATACTGTATTTAATGTACATTACTGTTTATTCACTATATTTACTACTGTATTAAATAAAAACTGTATTTTACTTTATAAAGCATTTTTTTACTTTTCTCGTAGCAATTACAATCCATTGTAGCCTTGTTTTAGCTATTGTTATGTAAAGACAACAATATGTTCTGTAATCCGAACTATTCAATAGTCCGAACTACCCCCGGTCCCAATTGGTTCGGATTAAAGAGGTTCTACTGTACTGTAACATTGCCTGACCATAGAGATTATTGACGTCGTTATATAGAGTACTGTGACATTGTAAATCAATTAATTTGTTAATTAATTATTATTATTTATTATTATTATTTATTAATTTATTAATTAATTTTTAGACAGCTTTGTGTTAGTAAGAATCGGTCTTGTACATGGATACAGACAACTTTTTGTTAGTAAAAAAATCGGGAAAAATCGGAAAAAATCTGATCCATCAAAACCGGATCCAGCCCAAGATCCGGAATTTTTTGGATCCGATCGGGTGCCGGTTCTAGCTTCCAGTAGTCCAATATCCCGATCAGACCATCACTAGTAATGGGGTGTTTTACAAGTAAAGAAAGAATAAATGAATCAGTATAAAATTCAAACTAGCCAATTTAAGTTGAATAACTCTCCTATTGTGATCACTGTGAAATTCTTGAATATCTTTCTCAGTCACGGAAACATCATCACAGTCTTCCTCAGTCAAGGCTAAATATTGAATATTGCTCTGAGGTAATGAAAACATCATTATCATCTCCAGCGATGGCGGAAAAATCTTGAACATCTCCCGCGGTCGTCGTCCATGATCGCGGCAAAATTCTGATCAGATCTGGCAGCCGTGTAGACATCATCATTGTCTCCCATGGTTAAGAAATTGTCATTGTTTTCTTGCCCGCAACCGCACCAATATTGGTATTTTACCAATCTTGCGATCTTCGGAGATTTGTTGGGTATCGGTATCAAAATCAGCTTTGAGCAGTCGATTCCGATTTCAAAGCCAAGAATTGTTGGAGTCAGAATCGACTCCGACTTTTAGAATCAACCCCCATCCCATTATAAGATTCGTGGCCTAGCCCTACCTTGAATAGGAGTTTCTTGATCTTGAGGCTTAAGGCACATCCCCTCTACCATCTGGCCCCTGCTACCCTCCATGCTTAGCTGAAAAAAAGATAGGCTAGTGACAAATTTAAATTTGTAAAACAAGCCATCAAATAACAATGAAACAATAACTGATCAAAACTGTCTTACAACATAACATAGCTCTGTAAAAACTTTGTGGGTTATAGTTATAGCTACAACTTAGCTAGTAAGCTTTGTTACATGCAAACTGTTGTCACGAGATGTTGTCATCTCATCTTAGTTGAAGACAAGATGGCAAGTTGTCAGTGCGAGTCTTTGTTGTTGCTCTTTGTGCTGAACAGAATAAGGCGCAGAAAGAGAGTGTGAAATCCTCAGGTGCACTGTATTGGTCAAATAATGCTAAGTAATTCAAGCCAATTCATAGTGTCCAAACAGTTAGAATGAAAATTATGAAAAGTTTCAAAAGCTTTTTCGTATTAGGCATATTCTCTTGGTACAACACAACATGCAACCTACGAAGATTCAACTGACGTGAATTAGTAACTGCTTGTATACCGGGGCTACATAAAATCGTGCGACTTGCAAAAACCGACTGGTATGTTTCATGTAGCATGTTATTTATTACTATTATTTATTACGGGTAGCTTAAAATATACTTACTGAGGCCTGCCCGTGCGTAAACATGGCTTATGAGATAATACATTATACAGCACAGTGTCATCTGCATATTCTATATATAAATTGAAATAAAATAGTTTATTATGGTTGGATTAAATTATTTGGATTCGATCTAAGGCCCTTAAATTACACGAGGTAGCCTGGCGACATCGCCAGCTATGATACTGGCTCCTCAGCCTGTCATGGGGCATTGATTCTTATGGATGTTATTACACGAGGGTAGCCAGCGTGTCACCAACTACTGTCACTGGCGACGTCACAACGCTATCTCGTATAATAAGGCTCTAAGTTTGTCAAACTATAAATGAAGCAAACTATTATTTTCCAGTTTTAGACTTTCTGGGACTGAAATATAATTGATTAATGTTTTTACAAACCTCTCTCTGGTTATTTTTAGTTTCTGGTTCCATTTCAAATTGTGTTGGCTGTGGTTCTATACTGCTCAAGCTTTCAAAATGTTCTTCAGTATCTTCTGTCAACAATCTGAAATTAAAATGAACGAAATATAAGTATTTGTACAGTAAAAGCTCAGTAAGCAGTCCTGTTTGATAGTTGTCAAAAAGTTGGCGTTTTCTATAAAAATCAGTCATTTAAATCAACACATTCTGTCGGCTCAATTCAATTACTTCTGTATTGTTTAACAAACTAGCGACAACATTAATATGGGGATGAAACGTCTTGTTCTATTAATAGTCAAAGGTAATACATACACCAATAAATACTGGCTATTTCTAAGCTATACCGGTAATAAATTTATAAAAAATTAAACTTACGATTCTGGTTTAGAACGACTCTTAGGACCAACACTAAATATTTTTGAATGGTCATCTTCAATTTGTATTTCTTCATATTCCATGTTTGGCTCTTTCTTTGGCAAAACTTCGCTGTTATAGGAATCCACATCCGTATTAATGAAAATATCACTTTTGAACGATGCACAAGGACCAAAATTTGTTGAACCTCCTATGACATAATCTTGATTGGCTTCAATAGTTCCAAAACTTAGCGGATCTGTGCAGGGCTCAAATCTCTTGCCAAAATAAAAGTTTGTTTTATGATAGTGTAAAATATTTTCCTTTAGAGGTCCACTGTAAACAAAAATTATTTTATTTTCATTGGTTTTTAAATCAATATTTACTAACTGCTTAAAATAATAGTAATGCATACATTCCTAAACATATTGGTTTTAATAATTTGAACACATGAAAACCTTGACATTTTCAAGCTGACTAAGGTATACATAAAACTTTGATTAACACTTTCATTGCTAGGGGCGGGAATTTACGCCCCTCTGTACCGGCACCACTGGCGCGGGGCGGGAAATGTCCTCCTTCTCCAATACCAACAACCTTGCTTCAATGTAAGCTCAGCCATTGCCGGGGAGCGTTACAATTGTTGCCAGCCTTAGCTTAGAATATAAGCTTTAGTCTGGTGTAGGTTGGTACTAAAATGTCCTGTAAAATCCTGTCTGGCAATACTTTTGTCCCGGTTCCGGCAATTTTCTCTTTTCGAGCCACTGGAAAAATATAGTGTATTTACAAAGACACTAGTTGGCTACGGATCCAGGCAGTGCTACTACCTTTGGGTGTTTCAGTGAACTACATCCACTCTCGGGCTAATGCAGCACAATCACCGCTGCTCTATTTTTTATTCGTCAGACTGAAATATTTGATTGCCAATTGCGTTCACCGATTCAGTTGCGCGGCGCGTAGGCGAGCGCCTGTTTGAAGGTTTGCCGCACTGAACGTGTTAACTTAATTGAGATCATAAGTTGAGTCATTTTAACAGGAATGTTGCTGGAAGTCAACAGTCCCGGAAGATCAAATAATTTATACCTGTGCCGCTAGGTCAAAAACTACAATGTTTGCAGTGTCTGTAGATCAAAAGTCCCAGGAAGTCAAATAATACAGTCCGAGCTAAAAACGTGGTATATGTTAAAGCAATTGACTTATTGGGAATTTGACCTAATGCAACAGCAGTTTCAATATAACGAAATACGGTAAAATACAAGTTCAGTTTCGCTGAGTCAACAGTGCCGGAAGATCAAAAGCAATAAAAGTGAACGTCGATTCAGTGTAAAGAAGACCTCCTGCAACGCTTACTACACCAACAAAACTCGCTTTTAGTTACTTCGTGTTTTGTCATAATTAGAATAGAGCTAAAATTATCATATTTGGTACATAGCTTATATATTAATGCTTCTTGCCAACTGTTTGGTCAACACTGTAAATAGGTATAGCCTTTCGTCAAAATTTGTGGCATAAAATACCCGCAAGGACGATCTGAAAATTTCTGGTTATTATATACGTTTGTAAAAGGAGATCCATTTAATTGTAGAACTATTTTATGAGTTATAATGTAGTCTACATATAAACTGTGTAAATGTATTACGCCTCGGAAGGGTTGAAACCTGTCCAAACTATCATATATATTATTAAAACGTAAATGGGGGTTTTTCACGATTCTGAATCAACCAGACGATGGATTTTCATTAGTTTTGTGTTGAAAGAAAGACAATTTTGAGAACTAGGGAATTTAAAAGCTATAATTTAAAATTAGTGTCCCAGTTTTTTATAAATTAAGTTTTAGTTTTTAAAAAGTCTAGCAACCGATGCTAACCTTCTCCAATAAGTCAATGCTTTTAGCACAATATAATTTGCTTAACATAACAGCTGTAACATTCAGCATTTGTGACACAAATTCAGCATTTGGAAGAAAATTCAAATACATACTTATGGTTGGCTTATTTATACCATAGATAAAACATACTAGTCTATGTTTATACTATGTGTAATGCTGACCATTGATAAAATTTAATTCTTCGGTACGAGTATGGCAGATTAATTTAATATGCATAGTAAAATACATTAGTAGGATGTTCAAATTATTTTTTAAAGTATTCTTTGTAATCATCGATTTGTTTTAGTCCAATATAATTTGTTTTAACTAACAGCTGGTTGAATGTGCTATGTATACTTATAAAAGGCAAAGCCCTCACTGACACACTCACTCTCACTCACTCATCATCACTACTAATTCTCCCACTTCCCATTGACCTAGGAGGCTGAAATTCGATACACCGATTATTTGGGCATTAAATAGGAAAACTGAGTAATTTTTATTATGATAGGGCATTCGAGCTTCGCCCCAGTAGCTCTGGAGTTTCCCATGTTAACCTTATGATTTTTCATATTTAAAAGGAATTAATGAATCTTAACAGCTGTGTCAATTAAACAATTTATGACAACAGCTAATTTGCAACCAAAAGCTGAGTGAGCGTTTCGAACGAACTTCAACCTGGAGGCGAGTTAACCCGCTAACCCCAAGGCAAGTGAGCTCAGCGAACGAGCTCCAACCTAAAGGTGAGTGAGCGTAGCGAACGAACTTCAACCAGGACGTGATTGAGCCATGCGAACGAGCTCATCTTGAAAATTAATTAGTTAAACGGGGCAAAGCCAGCGGGTACAGCTAGTTATTCTATAGAATTATTAGGTTTTTAGCGAATTTCGCATATAGGGAATAAGCTATTACCGTAGTACTCATGGCAACACCTGGACCCGGGACCGATGTAATTTTTCGTTTTGAGTCCCATCCGTTCAAATTCATATATATGTAAGTGTATAAGACATTTTGGGGACTTGACTTTTTCGGGTCTCAAGAATTTATACGAAAATACACTATTGCAATATTTTGAGGACTTGAATTTCCGTATGTGTATAAGACATTCTGGGCACTTGACTTTTTCGGGACTCGAGAATTTAGTACTTTTCGAGGACCTGTGCAAATTATTCCATTCCAAATGCAGCGCGTTATCGATCTTCACCCTTGTGTGGGCCTCCCATTCACTGACGGAATGTCTCGTGGCGTATGACGACCGGATATAAATAGTCACTTTACACTCAATTATCTCGTTATTTTTTCAGCATATTCGTTGACCCGTCTGCAGGTGTTATGTTGACGGGCTGTCAGAGCGTCTGTTGCAATAACTGGAATTCCTTATGTATGTTTGCTGCTGATTACGGTGAAGTATTGTTAGAAATTCCACCTAATCTTTAAAGTTACCCATTAAATTCATAGAAATAATAATATTTAAGTGTTTGACGAGTACCCCTATTGTATTCAAAATACTAAACGGCCCAACCCAAGATTTAATACAAGCCAAAGGTGTCTTATAGATTCCGAGTAAATTATTATAAACTATCAAATGGAGCATGTAAAGTGCATTATAAATAATCAACAAACCCTAACATAATTGACTATTGATTCAGTTACTGATTCGGGAATTACAATTGCTGATGATAACTGAATGCTCTGACCTGAAGCAGTGTTCTTCTTTACTTCTTTACCTATAAAACACATGGGATACAGCCTTTCTTCACTGATCACGTAATGCGTGATTTTCTATAAAGTCTTGGAAAAATAAAAGGAAAAATAGATAGAATACAGGTGTACTGTATGTGGTTTACACACAAATATTCATCAAACTGTGTGATAGTTTGTTATAGCAATGAACAATTTGAGAGTATCGTATTGTTTAAGTCGATGGAAAATCTCTGTTGATCCTGTTTTACAAGCAAACCAAAAAGATACAGTAGTCACCACTCTATGCGACATATTCTAACCAGAAAATTGTAATCGTATGATTCTATAAGCATTGGTAGGATTGCAAAGTACTACACAAACATTATTTCAAGGGTAATAACAGTCACAATTTCCGCTGACTTTAAAAGAGTCAACTAAACTATTATACTAATGGACACACAACTAAATGGAACAATTAATGGAAATTCTCACGATGTACATTCGTTCGATATAAGCATTGAGTAGAGTATACACGTCAGTACATACGTGTATACCCAATGATATAAGCAACGGTTCTTGCAATTTATTGCTTATTGTTTTTTAGAGTTGTTTTCGGACTTACTCTGTTTTCGGACTTACTCACACTCGTATAAGGTTTTCCACGTTTGTCATTGATAATGTAGCCATGTTGCTTTGAAATGGTGACCATACAAATGTATGCATTTTAAGCCAAGTATGAATGGAGATGAGTGTGGGATGAGTGGAGTGATCTTGTTGTCCTGTTTGTGACTAAGGCCGACATAATCCTTAGACACAGCTGTTAATTAATAGTGCATACAGTCAATTAATAGCAGCAGAGGTCAAGTTTGGTATCAAATTAAAGGTTTTATTCATAAAAATACATTGCCGCAAACCCAAACTCAAACGATGATGATGATAATAACGTTAATGATGTCGCTAAAACGTATCGTTTGAAATTTAACAGCTGAAAATAAGTGAAATAGAAAAGGTTTTGGTTAAATCCATCAAACTGTAATTGGACACTAGTAAATAAAGGGTGGACCAAAAAAACAGGGACAATTTTAAAATGTTATTACTCACCTGTTATAAAGGCTGGAGAGTTCATTGATGCGGCAAAAGAAAGTTTATTTGATGCCATTTAGTGTATAGTTACTATGGATCATCAATGGTTACCACAACATCGTGCCTTTGTCATAGAGACCTATTTTGAAGAATAATTTGACTTTCATTTCTACTCAAAGTCAATTTCGTGTTCACTTCAACTTTGGCCGTAATGGTGCAGCCCCAAACCGAATAAACTACTCAAAGATGGGTAAACAATGTCCTATACACGGCTTTTATACTCAAAATTAAACCTATGCAAATTTAAATTTCAATGCAATGTTTTGCAAACGGTTGGCTTTGGACGCTCGACGCAGGACACTCGCGCGAACCATTTCAATGTTTTCCGGCGTTCGAACAGTCCAAGGTATCTTACTAGGTTTGACTTTGAGTGCAGAAGACGTGTTCTGGAAATTACTTACCCAACTTTAAATAGTTTTTCGCTTTGGGGTTGCACCATTACGGCCAATGTTGAAGTGAAAACGAAATTGAGGTTGAGTAGAAATGAAAGTCAAATTATTCTTCAAAACGTCTCTATGACAAAGGCACGATGTTGCGGTAACCATTGATGATCCATAGTAACGATACACTAAATGGCATCAAATAAACTTTCTTTTGTCGCATCAATGAACTCTCCAGCCTTTATAACGGCTGAGTAATAACA